GGGGGCAAGGCCAAGCCACGGCTCTATGTGTCTTATGGGATGAGCATGCAGTGGTGCCCCCAGGGCATACAGCTTTTCCTCAGGGCACTGCTCAAGGGAGAGGAACCAGGAGCACCGGTGAGGACCCAATAAGAAGAGGATCTGGGTAAGTGTAACATGTTTGTTATTAAAAAAAAAAATGAAGCTTTAGTGTCACTGTAAGCTTCACTGTTGTTATATAATATTCACCTTGTAGGTATGTTCTCATGAATCATACCATACTGTGCCAGCTATAACATCTGAATGAAGCAAGAGAGGTTGCTCTACATGTTAGGCTCCATTGATGCTTGGCTTTTCCAGAACATGTGACAAAGTGCACAGAAAAAGCACGTTTTGCCGCACGTTTCAGAAACATACTGCAAATGTGCGTTGTGATGTAAAGGAAAGGGACAATGCTTTACATGTAGCATGGAAGCTTCACAAGGTTGCTTGTACATGGATTTGGGTATATATTTTAGAGTGATCTAAGAGGCATTATCTTACAGGTAGGTGGTGACAGTATAATACAATGTAAGCAAATCCTTAACAGATGAGTGTAAGTTCAGATTTTCAAATCTGGTCATTTTGAGGCCCAGGAATACTTTTTAATGTCCATTAGACTATTTTCTTTTTTAATGTTCAGGCAAGATCAAATGGGCCATGCTGATTCTTGGTGTTATCCCCCTCCAAAAAGAGGAGTTGAACAATATCCATATGCACTGATGGACAGAAGACAACCATATGGAGATTGTTTGCATAATGTAAAATAGTCTTGTTGTCATGTTTGTTTTTAGATTAACGGCCCCCCCAAACCAGGGATTGTTGTGGTTTTATTTGTTATGTGTCACCTTTTTTCCGTATTGTCAGTGATAAGACATTAATTTCCTTTAGTACAGTAAGCTAGGCTTACTAAATTAAATTATCAGAGAAATGTTTAACATCACTTAGTGCAATTAGTTTTAGGAGTCTATGTTTCTTATGTTTTTCTCATAAGATGATGTTACACAATCAGATGTCGATTTTCTTCTCCCTTGTTTTTTGCCCTTTACTCACCCCCAGTTCCTCCCACTGACTCTCCTTTGATTTGTCACAAACTGAAGCAGCATTAGTCAGTGAAAACTAGACCTTTTGAAATCTGGAAATTGCAACTCTTTGTATTTATCAGATGGCAGGCTAAATGCAATGTTTCTAAGACACTAAGTACATCTATTGATTCTTTTCAGAGTGTGTGGCACTGATTACTGCTTTATTACCATCTACTAGTTCTTTATTTTCATTGATGTCAATAGAATGTCTATGCAAACAACCTTCAGTTTCTTCATGGATATAAAATCACCAATGCATTACCGATCATTTTTCACTCTGTATGATCATTCAAAATTTATAAGAAATACAATGAACATAGAAGAGAACAGTCCGATCAAGCAACAAGGTTGAAATACATTGTGTGTTATCATACATTATTAGCCCATTTCAGTAGCTAGGATAATTTGTATACATATTAAATGTGTTGATCTGTGTTAAATTATACTGTATTTAAAGGATACTTTTTACATGATAATTAACATTTAGGTTTCTGTTATCTTTATATCTTATGACGAGAACTGAATTAAAGTGTTACTAAACCCAGGACCCTGCATTCACTATATCTGGTCTCCCACAGTACACACAACATGGAAGTGAAGAATATTTAAACTACCTTTTGCTTTGCTTGGACTGGAAATGATGGAAAACAATGGGGAAACAGACAATAATTAAAAATTGACTCTTTCAAAAAGAACATTTTTACTGTTCCATTTTAATTTTCTGTTTTACCCATGATCTGAGTTTTCAGTCATTATTACCCAAGAGGTTGTGAACAGACCACACCATAGGTTATTAAAGTTTACTTAACTATTAGTTGAATTGGGACATTTTTAAACCATCACTGTGCCATAAAATAGAGGTTTGCCAGCACAAATATCAAACAATAGAGGGCATAGAATTCCCTCAGAGAACAGTAGTTTAAAAGAGAACCAACAGTGGTGTAAATAAAACCAATAGCTTTATTATACTTCACAAAAATTGGGTAATAGACCTATTAGGTCAAAGGATCCTCCATTCACATCAAAAAAATGGATAACGTTATCACTTTAAAATGGCCCGGGCCACACTTACTCAGAATATAACATAGTACTACTACCTTGCGTCTTAAGTGAGCATAATACAGGGGTCAATAGGCCAGAGTCTTGCATAGTGAACTTGCCACTCAAATCAGTAAGTCAGAATCCAAGACTCTGGAGAAAACACTCTCCAACAAGGACATGGTCCACCATAGATCGATGGCACTTGTAAATGAAGAAAAAATTGGGGCAAAATAACTCATTGAGTTTGCCCAGTGTAAACCACCAGATTGACAAGTTACATCCCATAAGGAATGGCAGTCACAAAAAAATGTCATGGATTCAGACAGGAAAAGAGAGTATCAGATAACACAATTTATAAACTGTGCCACAACTCGGGTCCTTTATATTGAGTGCCCTTGTAAAAAATACTATGTAGGAAAAACAAAACGCCAACTTCACATTAGGGTAGGGGAACATCTGAAAAGTATTAAACTAAATGAAAAACATGCCGTTGGCCCAACATTTTTCTGAACATCATGGAGGCTAAATAACTGGCCTGAGAGTGAAAGGATTTTTCGCTCTTAAATTGTCATCCAGGAGAGGCGACTTCAATACAGTACTATTGAAGAAAGAGAAAAGTTGGATTTTTAAATTAAAAACTTTGGCACCATTTGGGTTAAATAATGAAATGAGCCTTTCTTGGAATCTTAATTCATGAGATCCTCCCCCTCCTTAGTATCAATAAAAGCCTGCCCTTTTCTTATTACAAATAGTGATTTTTCACTATGCATCCCAGCATGAATACCTTTGATGATTGTATGGGGATTTTCCTAAGAATTACGAGAGTTGGGAATTTTTTCAAATGGAATGTGCTAACATACAATTATATAAACACATTGGATGTTTAAAAGGTTTTTTGAAACTAATTGAGAATATGTAGAATGGCCTTGTGGCAAAACCCACCTATTATCTTTTAAAAGTAACGATTTAGCGAATATATAAGCGCTGTCCTGTAAATAGGGGACCTCCCCCCGGCCCCTCTGATTACTTGAACGGGACATCTGTCTTGTCAAAAGGCCGGGTACGTGAACGTCCCGACGTCCTGACGAAGCGCACTGTCACGTGTGCAAAGCATGTTGACATAGGCAGCGCCAGCCAGATCCTGGGCCACACCTACGGGAATGGGCGCGTGCTGATCTGCTACACGCCGCTCTCAGCGGGGCGGTAAATGTGCACACCGCCTCAACTACACTACCGGGAATACCGCTGTGAGCTGCTACTATTATCATTACCTATATGGGGTCACTCTTTCCAGCTTGGTTCTTCTGTTTGGAGGACACGGATGATCCGGTTATCCAGATGTACGCCAAGTCGTCATAATTTTACTACGTGAAGTCTGTTATGCTGATACCGTACGCTTACAATTACCCTGGAGTGGTGAGAGCCTGTGGGCACAATTTTTTCAGCAGCAATGGCCGTATCAGCAATTTATTGATAACTTCTCTATACACGGTCCGAGTGTTCACTTTGACATATAGGGGTTTATTTACTAAAGCTGGAGAGTCCAAAAACAGACTCACTTCTGCATAGAAACCAATCAGCTTCCAGGTTTCATTGCCAAAGCTTCATTGAACAAGCTGAGGTTAGAAGCTGATTGGTTTCTATGCAGAAGGGAGTCTGATTTTGGACTCTCCAGCTTTAGTAAATAAACCCCATAGTGACTCCACAAGTGGTCAATGTTGACTTTGGACACTACTTTGTTGCACTGTTGATCAAACGGGACTGAGTTAACTATACTGGATCACATATCCTTCAATTCTTTAATATTAGGCTATTTAAGCCTTTATCTCAATTGGAAATCTATGAGATCAATACACCTGGAATTGAACGGGACTCACTGGTCTCATCATATTGGAGTTATTAATCTTCTACTTTCATTATTATAAGGCTATTAGCATCTATTTCAAGCGGGAAATCAATGTCATTTATGTCAAGATAGTGATTTGGAGATTATCAAATCACCTATACCTGGGATCAGGTCAAAGGGGCATCAACCCTCATTGTTTCATCATACAATATTGACATTTTCACCCATTGATGTCTGTTGAAGCTGGATGCTTTAATTTTTATCTCAATTCACTTGTGATCAGATGAAGTGGATTTTCTGAATGAACATACCATTAAGTCACCCAATATGCAGTACCCAACTATGAGATATTATACCAATGTGGTAAATGTTAACAATTTTTGTGGCTGCCATTCCTTATAGGGAAGTTAATTTGACAATCTAAACAGTTATTAACTGTGAGGTATCATACTAATGTGGTTAATATCAACCATTTTTGTGACTGCCATTCCTTATGGGATGTAATTTGTCAATCTGGTGGTTTACACTGGGCAAACTCAATGAGTTATTTTGCCCCAATTTTTGTTCATTTACAAGTGCCATCGATCTATGGTGGACCATGTCCTTGTTGGAGAGTGTTTTCTCCAGAGTCTTGCATTCTGACTTACTGATTTGAGTGGCTCGTTCACTATGCGAGACTCTGGCCTATTGACCCCTGTATTATGCTCACTTAAGACACAAGGTACCATGTTATACTCTGAGTAAGTGTGGCCATTTTAAAGAGATATTGTTATCCATTTTATTGATGTGAATGGAGGATCCTTTGACCTAATAGGTCTATTACCCAATTTTTGTGAAGTATAATAAAGCTATTGCTTTTATTTACACCGCTGTTGGTTCTCTTTTAACCACCTCCCGCCCACCATATAGTCCAATGACGGGCGCAAGGTGGTTCTCTCATTCTGAGAGGGACGTCATATGATGTCCTCCCCATTCTCACCGCGCATGTGCGGCTCAGGGAGCGCGCAACGCAGCGATCGGCGGTGCGCTGTGTCCCTCGGACACAGCGGATCACCGATCACGGAAAGAGCCGAAGATGTCGGCTCGGTCATGTGATCAGCTGTGTCCAATCACAGCTGATCACATGTAAACACGGAAATGCTGGTTATCGGCATTTCTCTCCTCTCGAGCTGTCGAGCTCAAGAGGAGAGCCAGTAATTGGCTTTCCGCGGAGGGGGACATGTACACTGATCATCAGGGCACTGATGATCAGTGTGTCCTGATGATCAGTGTAGCCCCAGCAGTGCCACCTGTCAAAGTCCATCAGTGCCAGCTGTCAGTGCCGATCAGTGCCACGTGCCAGTGCCTATCAGTGCCACATCAATGCCGCATACCAGTGCACATCAATGCTACATATCAGTGCCCATCTGAGCTGCCTTTCAGTGTCATCCATCAGTGCCAGTCAGTGCCACCTATCAATGCCAATCAGTGCCACCTATCAGTGCTGCCAATCAGTGCCACCTATCAGTGCCACCTCTCAGTGCCAGTCAGTGCCGCCTATCAGTGTGCATCAGTGCCACCTATCAGTGCCAGTCAGCGCCGCCTAACAGTGCCAGTCAGTGCCGCCTATTAGGGCCAGTCAGTGCCGCCTAAAAGTGCCATATATCAGTGCCATGTATCAGTGCTGCCTTTCAGTGCCCATCAGTGATGCCTGTCAATGCCCATCAGTGCCACCTACCAGTACCTCCTCATCAGTGCCCATCAGTGCCACCTATCAGTGTCCATCAGTGCAGCCTATCAGTGCCCATCACTTCAGCCTCATTAGTGCACATCAGTGAAGGAGAAAAATCACTTATTTACAAAATTTTATAACAAAAACTAAGAAAAAACATTTTTTCCCCAAAATTTTCAGTGGTTTTTGGTTTGTTTAAGAAAAAATAAAAAACCACAAGGTGATTAAATACCACCAAAAGAAAGCTATATCTGTCAAAAAAAAAATGATAAAAATTTCATATGGGTACAGTGTTGCATGACCGTGCAATTGTCATTCAAAGTGCGACAGCTCTGAAAGCTGGAAATTGGCCTGGGCAGGAAGGGGGGATAAGTGCCCTGTAGGCTAGTGGTTAAACTACTGTTCTCTAAGGGAATTCTATGCCCTCTATTGTTTGCTAATGTGTGTTGGGTTTCTGGAGGACCCCAACTTAATATGTCAAAGGTGAGTCGGTGATTACCATAGCATTGAACTTTAGGGCTCCCTAATTAAGGAGTGATAATAATAATAAAACATTTAAATATGTAGATTTTATTTTACGATTATTCTTGCCAGCACAAATAATTTCATCCCAGCCAATTCAGATGGGATGAAATAACACTTGTGTGTACAGCTTTTAATCGAATCTGCGCTACTACTTTTTTTTTTCGGAGGGGGGTTTGTGTTTTTTAGCCTTTTTGTCTAAGTATAGACTTATATTTTTCCAACGCACATTTAATTTTTCTTCATGAATACCACTTACTGGCAACAATAATACATATACAGTGTATATAAATATATATATTTAAAACGTTTATTACGGTCAGTTGCTTCCTTGCTTCTTATACTGTATATCTTGAAGTCTGCAAAGACTAGATCTTTCTTACATATTTCTTGGCTCTATCCCCGCTCAACTTGGAGTCTTGGGTATGCCTGTCAATTTTGAGGTATTCTCCCTTCCCCATTATATTTAGTAAATTTAAAGCTACTGAGGAGAAACTTACCACTAAAGCCCCATGCACACGATGAGAATATCAGACAAATGATCGTCCATTTTTTTTGCCTGCTAGTCTCATATCAAAAGTGAAGAGGTTACTAAAAATACAAAAATTCTCATGCGACAGAAGATTCGTAAGTGATGTAATGTATTTGTATTGTATTGTAACTGTACTGATTAAATGGAAATTGTACGGTCTGGTATCGTACGAGAAACATTTTTGTGCTTGTCCCTTCAAATAATTTTGGATGAAAGCTGTGTACTAATGATCAGATTATTTTAGGATCGCTTCAAAAGCGGTATTGTTTGCACGATTTTCTGGTCGTGTGCACTAGGCATTAATGACTGAAACACTTGGGCAAGTCTAGTAATGTGAATGCAAAGATTTATGTATAGAAATAGGAACTGATTAGTTTGTCTAAATGCTGGCCATACACTGCTATTTTTTTTTTATTGACCCTGAAGTCTGTTAAAAAAGAATAATAACAGAATCCTCCATCCCTACTACACAGCACAGATGGACGAATCTTTATCTGTGGCTATTGTACATTGGCAGTCAGCCTTGCCGGATGTCAAAATATCTGAACAACAGCTGAATCTGATTGGATGCAACTGCTGATCAGCTGAAAATCTTCCTTTTCAATAAAAGTTAATTGAATGATAAACATTTGTCAAACAGAGCAGAGCCACCCACAGAGCAAGTAACCACTGGTTCCACTAGTTCCTCCGGAACTGGCCAAAATGTTCATACTGTATGTTAAGCTCCAGTGTCTATCAAAGACTGAAGTATTAGGTTTAAGTGGATTGACCTTTTCAGATACATATACATTTTAGATAATAGTTGCTAAAAATTCTTGTCAATTTTAGCAAATTGGATGTGTTTTGGTTGCTTCAGATATATGAATTATATCCCCAACACATCTTTTAAATTAAATGCCTATAGGCTGAGTTAGATGATTCCAATCTACTACTTTTCTTGACATTACACAAACATGCAAATCAGCTTACTAATATGTACAGTAAGTTTGGTAGAGTAAATAGAGTTTCAGACAAATGGTTGAGGTTCCAGTTCAATTTTGTTTTAAATTAAATTGTATTCGTGTTTACAGATGAACACCAGTTAAATTTTTTTCATGTTAAAAGTAACAATAGCCAACATGTTTCTGGGATTTAACTGAGGCCTGTGATGATTGCGGCGTCGGACGCCAGCCCTTCTAACCAAACCTGTGACCGAAGGGCTAGCCAATCTAAAACCGCGCTGTCACGTGCGTAACAATGCCATGCCCAGCTGCACTCTGCACAAAGATTTTCCAGCTAATGGACCACAATCTGTGTACCTGCAGCCTGGGAGCGATTGTTACTGGGTCAGGTTAATTACGCAATTAACCCTTCACACTGCCACCACCTCCTTTTTGTACAGAGAAAGAGGAAACTCGGCAATATTAGCAATAACACTATGATGTTTGAATAATCGTTTGTATACACAATGTCACCGCAGACAGATGTATGCAGATGTTTAAAACACACAGTAGCGCTCTTCAGAGACAGGGGTTCTTAGTTTGCATTAAAGAGCTTTAGAAAAAGTTTAACACTTTTCAGATAATAGGATTTATTACTAAAAAGGTCAAAAGGGGGCAATAACAATATTTACAGAAAAAGATGTAGCCAATATATATATATATATATATATATATATATATATATATACAGAGAGCAATAACACAGCAAAGAGATAACAGAAAGGAATTTAGAGAGGTAAAGTACTTGCCAAAAGTCCTGGGTTAAGCAGCTTTCAAGTTTCAGAGCAAAAGGGTCCCTTATCTCCCAAAGTTAGTTCAACACGACCTACTTGCCTCATTGGGGAGGGTGTGGCAGGCAGAGACCCAAGCTAGAACCAAAATCCCTCGCAGTTTATATCATGGTCCATAACTTACCCTCGGGGCATGTAGCCGCCTAGCCACTAGTAGATTAATATGCAGCAGCATCTGCTGAACGTTTAGATATGAAATATGCTATACCTGCTGGAACGGTTAAGGAGATATCGTTTTCTGCTCTCCTGTAGATTTCAGCTCGGGGGTGTAAGATATCCGGCGACTTGTATTAAAGTGACTGATCTGAATATATGCCTGGTTTTTTATGTACATCTTCCATATCTCCAGATATAAAAAAATTATATGGAAAAGTGGATTTTTAAATGTCAGTCTGTTTTATGACTACCTGGAATGTCTTTGAAGCTCAGTGAAGGACTGGTTTTATGGCTTTACGATATCCCAGATTGAGAAGCTAACAGACATCCTGGCACCAGCTAGGTTGGGATTTATAACCATGGAGCCCTCCCACTGGGGCCTGTTGCCTTTTTAACTCAGCATACACACAGACCACATTCCTGAGGGAGGGGGGAATTGGAGGAGGGAGACTGATTTGGGAGTAGAAATGATACAAGATGGAGGATCCTTAGCAAGATGGGTGACCGCGTCCATCTCTGTATGCACAATTGCTACAATGCCCACTCACCAGTGCTTGTGCAGGTGAGGGTTGGAAGGAAACTGGACTGGAACCAGGTATCCTGGAGTGGATTTCTCAAGCATGCATTAAGGACTTAGAATTGGATATAGAATTTTCTTCCATGAAAAAAGTAAGGGCCTGCTCTGGGTGTCAGTCCAACCTCCCTTGTGACCAGAAAAGGCCTTTAAGGCATGATAAAAAAACACTTCTTCGTGATATTAACTCTTAGTGCAGCTTCCTTCCGACCCTCACTGATGAAAAACAATTGAACTTGACCTTCAACTATACATCTGATTTTAGAGAGCAGACTATTAACTAACAAATTCACAGATCTAAACACCTGTCAAAATCTTAATTCAATACTCCACCAAAATATCTACAGTACATTTAAGTCAACTGATATGATGAAGACAAACCCATTAGGCAGAAATTAATACTAAAGAATGTAGCATCATAAATGATATAATATAAAAAATATCGCAAGTTAACTACAACGTACAGTCATTTTTAAAAATGAAAAACATTGGGGTAGGTCCTCTATATATGGTGAACTATACCAGTATTTTTGGGTGAATGGACAGTGAAGTTTGATTTTTACAATACGAATGTGTGTGATGTGTGTATCAATGCTGTTACTACATTTCCGAGAATAAACTGTTAATAATTCAGTTATTTTAGAATTCTGGTGTGATTTTTCTTTTCAGAAATGCAATGTTACTAATGGATGTGTTAAATAGAATGACTTCTAGGTGAACCTCATTAACTACCCACTGAGTCCTCAATTAATAAGTTAAATGGTAGAACAGTCCTGAATTCTAATGTACTAATTAGTTTCTCTGTGCCACAGGATACATATCCTATCAAGCATTAAAAGGAATTACATAAATTTTATTAGGTTTGTTTAATAAAAAAAAAAAAAAATCATACAAATGTTAAAAGTGGTCTTCACAGACCACTAGCACTTTGCGGCAGATTTCACCAGCCTTTGCACCTATTGCATCACTGTGTTTACCTATTCAAAGGAGAAGCCTTACTGCCACAACTAATGAAAGTTTAATTATTCCGTAATTAATTATCAATATGCCTGATCTTACTAGGTTACAGTATTTAATAATGACTAGTGGAGTTATTACTTTTAAATACCGATGCTTGTTAACATATTAGGTATGTGAGTTTCATTTTGCTATGAATCGATTTTCGGAAGAAAATGAGATATGTACGAATCTCC